TTATTTTTATCTCATCTGACATAGTCAGATGCGCAAGCTTGTAGAATCGCATCGAGGCTGCGGTCCGTCCGGCGTGCGTCCGTGTTGCGTCCGTCAACAGTTGGGCACAAAATCTTTAACCGCGTCGACGTACATTCACGTCATTCGCGGACGTTGGGGGGGGGGGGTGGTAATCTGTAAACGAGTTGGAATGTCGAAGCTGGGGTGAAAGGTCAAAGGTCAAGAGTGTAAAAGAAGGGGGAAGCATTCCTCCTTAACTTAAGGTATAGGGCAGGAAATGCAGAATTGCGGCACAAATCTAAATGGCTCAACCTAGGCTCGTGATAGTCGGTGTTATAGCATCATGGTAGGAAGCCACCATGTGCCGAAATTGGAGGTCACAGGTCAAAGGTCAATGGGACAGGGCAGATTTCAGACATTTTCTGAGGACATGGGTCTGACGTAGCGATTGAAAAAAAATTTTGTTATTCAGCGGTGACCTACCATTTTGATGGCTTTATTGAAAGGACTATGAAATGTACTTTCCGCTGACATGCGAAGAGTAGTGTCGGATAACTTTTGACCTGCAAGAGGAGCGCGTTAAACATTTGATTTGATATGACTGTTAACAAAAGACTGAAATGCTTTTGCCATAGGTTATTAGAGCCCATTGACTGTGTGAATGTGAGGCTACAGTTGCACAGTTTAATTGCAAAGGCAAATGTTTGTTGAACAAGGTTTACGCTCCTTAAATCATTATTTTCTAAAGCAGTCTGTCTATAGCACCCTGAAGGCTGAATCAGTGAATGCTCACGTGGGTAGGCAAAAACACGGGGCAGCCCATGGCTGGCACGCTTCTAATCATAATTGTTGCCTGCCAACCTGCAATGCACATGTGTCTGCAATGCATAGAGATTAGGTGGGTGTGAAAGTGTAGCTGATATATTTGTTCGAATTGGCTACGAAAGTCAAACAAGAATAAAGAAGACTTATGTATAAGACGTCTTGCTATGCACAAATGAATTTATCAGCAGAACACCAGACACCAGATGAGCCCTGTCGCACTGCGGCACTTAGGTTTATAAATTATTATTGCGATATACAGATGGCAACCGTGTGCTACCGCCTAGAAAAACTCATACGAAGTAAACACTTCCATGCAACCAATTAACCTTTGACAAAAGTTGTATTATGGGCAGGGAAACACCATTGTCACATGGTATATAGCAGCTACCTGGAATAAGCGTATCCTCTCAATCTTACACGTTACGCATCGGGAGCTCCGCTTTTAGGCAGTGCCTAAATCTGAAGATTATAAAAACGTTAAATGGCGATCATTTAGGTGTAACGCCATCACTCGCCCACATCTCAGACTTTCACATCTCAAACATTTATTTTCACATAAAAAATTACACATATAATTATGAAGAGTATATAATGGGAGTTCTCCCATATATACTCTTCGTTTCTATAATGTACGTCGATGGTTGCTCAATTAAAACTGACTTCTTCTCACTCACTCATTTGTGTCCTTTTTTGTGGTGTGCTACAGTGTCATTGACACTTTTATTTTAGCTCACCTTGACATCGTCAAGATGAGCTATTGCCATAGGGCGTTGTCCGTCATACATCCGTCCGTCTGTCTGTCCGTCAACATTTGGCTACAGTCAACGATAACTTGAGAACTGTTTGACCCACATGTTTCAAATTGCATACAGTTGTTACTCCTATGGGAGAGATGTGAACGTCCTATTTTGGGGCACGCCAGTTGACCTACTTTCGAGCCACTCCCACTTTTTGGCAAAAATGGAAATTGCCATAAGTCAGTTCAGGTTCAACGAATTTTGCTCATTTTTGGTATGTGAATGAATAAGGACTGGCCCCAAAACTTCTTAATCTTAAAGTTACGAAAGGGTCTAGGCTCTCATAATGTTATAAGGAAATTTGCGAGGATTTTCATCCCGCAACATTACGATATTTTTATCAATGGATTACGACTACGAGTCTAAGGTAATAATAAGACAATGTTAACACTAATTTTGTTTCTGAAAACGGGCCCCAGTTTAGAAATGTTCCGTGTTAGAAGCCATTTTATGACTAACATTATATCTATTGTTAGATTATTACAGTCATGTGACATCTTGACTGACTTTTATAGGTGGCATTTGCAAAAGCTAATAGTGGCAAGGAGCAAGGTCTGGTTATGCAAGATCTTATTCCGGGTGAGGGTGGTGGCTTAGAAGTTGACGATTCAGCAGAGGTCAGATATACAGGATGGCTGATGGTTAACCATGTCCAAGGTCCACAATTTGATTCAAATGTATCTGCTGACAAGAATTTCAGACTAAAGATGGGCAGAGGAAAAGTGATAAAGGTATATTATATTACTATAGCAACCCATCAGTTAATAATTACTTTAGATAGTTACAGAATAAATTTGGTCATCTAAAGAGTAAAGATATTTGATTAAATATTTCTAAATATTACGTCTCAATCTCTCACACAAGATGCTAATATTTAGACTCGATGAGATGATGCATGAATTTCCAATTATATTCTATATTTTGCTACTGCTGTTCTAGCGATTCTTGTTGTGTTCCTTTAAGAGTATCTGTTTTGAATGCAGGGCTGGGAAGAGGGAATGATTGGGATGAAAAAAGGCGGCAGGCGCTTACTCATAATTCCTCCCTCTCTTGGATATGGAACGCACGGGATGGGCACACGTGTCCCTCCAAACTCCACTCTGATCTTGGACGTGGAGCTGATAAAGGTGCTCTTTAGCTTACCTGTGACAAGAAAATATTGTGTTGCTTGCATGTAAATCATATTGTTTAAACTCATTATTACTTAGAAACGTAAAGTGAACATTTCTATGTATATATCATTTTGTCACTTTACCTGTCAGTGTACCTACTATTTAGATGTCACTTTGTGCAAACTGTCGCCACTTGCAGGTAAAGTTGACTAGGGAGCACGGTTCACGAGCCGAAAGTCCCACCAAGGTCGGTGGATTGCAGGCGGAGCAGGTTGACACGACAGACACCACGGTTACTAAGAGCAGAGCTGATAGTGTGAAGGACCGGTCTGCCTCCCTTAGTGAGCAGATGTCACATGTAAGCTAGTATTATGAACAGCTATATAGCTTAGATAGCATATATATATACAAGCTATCATATCAGACTACCCCATATTACTGCCTTATCGTGCTAACTATTAATCAATTATTAACCAGTAATCAGCCATTACCAGTAAATTAACCATTAATTAATGAGCAATAATGGTTGTTGTTGATCTGATCTATGTCTTTGTGGCCAGGCATACCAAAAAATAATCTTGTTTATTAGTTTAGTAACATTTCTTAACAAGTATAATTGGGGCAAATGTATGTTATGGCTGGCAATAGTTTATTGGTGTTATACGAGTGTATAGTAACCTTGCTGGAAGTGCAAATGTTGTACAAAGATAACTCGGGCCTGGTGAGCAGATCTAGGGAGCACTTCTGCAGTACATGCGGTCCTATATTAGCCATGGCCGCGTACAGCAATATGATCTTACCGTGTGTTTGCCGTTTTGAATACGAATTAGCCATCTGCCAGCACTGACAAGGCACAACTGATACAGCGCATGGCAAAGATGGGACAGCCGATGCTGCCGATGCAGGGTGCCGTTGCCGCGGCAACAGAGAGTGACGATGAGGACAGCGATTCAGTACGTCAGTCGACAATATATCTCTCAATACTCAACTTGTTTCATTGAAATCAGTTCAGATTTTCAGTGGAAATGAGTTTTCATGCTTTTTCATGCCAATATATGTAAACTATTTTTAGCCACGTTTAAATATGTATACATGTGGTAATATGAACCGGTCACATGTGTACAGGTGTATGTCAGGGCAATTACATATGATTGCATTCATGTGTGGCATTGCACTTTAGTGAGCGTGACTATCCCAGACGCTTATTTACATTTGGCCCTTTTTACATAGATCAAGACCCTTCCTCGAAATAGCATGTATTCACTACAAACCAGGGTGTGTGTTCTGTGTGTAGGATGTTGTGGTTGCGGATGCCTCACCAATACACAACAGTCCTGCTCATCGACCCACGATCAGCCCGAAGCCTCACAACTTACCGATCAGCAAGGCTTCAGCAGCGGACCCGGTGAAGCACAGTGCGACGCCGCCGCCCGTGATGCAGCCGACCATGTCACGACCAGTGCCGCAGTACTCCCGGCCTTCAGCACCAACAGCAGAGGCTGTAGGCACAATCATGTACGGGCACCAGGGTATGTTCACTACTGCTGTTACCTAGAGCAGTATATATACATACCTAGTTTCTTTATAAGGCTACAGTATCGATTGTTTTAGCCTGCTAAAGAAACGTACAGACTTGAAAGCTCACATTTAAAGGAATTATTTCAAAATCATTGCTTATAATCTGGAACATCTGGAAAAAATAGTGAAATATAGTCTCACCTAATAGCGGATATGTTACTTATTACTCCAATTTTAAAAGAGTGTATGCTGTTATAGCTAAGAAAATTGGAATCAAACACATCATAACATCACGCCATATTTAATTATAGCGATAATTTATTTGCAAATGGCGCCTTCAAAACAAGTGCACCTAATTTAAACGAAAGGGCATCTGATTCTGTGTAGTGAACGCGATAGGATTTTTAAGTTATTTATCCCTGGCCGATATCTCGCGGTATTGCCAGAAAGTCACAGATTAGCGAGCAATAACGGTATCGTAAAAGTGGGGAAAACACGAGACCGGTCGTAAATTGTTTTTTTATTATCCTTGATTCAACACCCATGGTTCGTGTTGTTTCTCTATTGTTGTCTGTGTATTTAGCTCACCTTGACATCGTCAAGATGAGCTATTTCCATGGGTCGTCGTCCGTCGTACGTCCGCCTGCCGCCTCCATCCTTTCCGTCAACCTTTGCTACGTCAACGATAACTCAGAACCGTTTGACCCACATTTGAAATTGTATAGTTGTTACTCGCTACTCCCATATGCACGTCCATATTTGGAGCACGGCATTGCCCGTATCTTCATCCACGGCAATTTTGCAAAAAATGGGAATGCCCTAGTCAGTTCATTCAACCGATAGCTACATTTTGAACGTCACATGAAGAATAAGGGCCCCAGGTTTGAATATTAAAAAAAAATTATGCAAATATAGTATTTTGCATTATATAGGGCATATTACTGTTATAGACACGCAGATAACAGTCTTGGGTCACACTCGTCGTTCCGTTTACAAGATTTCAGACAATATAATTAATGCAAAATTGTATTTCCTCTCCACCCCTCGCCAATAAAACGTCTAATATTAAGTACAGTTACAAAACTGTCGAACAGCACATAACCTATTATTCGAACCACGCTAAGAAACATCAAAGCGGTAAGCGCCATCTAACCCGTCACCCCAAATTGGATATTTAGCTCATCTGACATAGTCAGATCATCTGGTAGAACGCATGAACGTGCGTGATCCGTAATCGCTACCCGGTGCTACCGTGTGCTCCGTACAGACAGTTGGCAACAAATCTTAACCTCGACGGTACATTCACGATATTCGGACCGTGGGGGGGGGCGGGTGGTAATCTGTAACATTGACATGCGAACGCAGGGGTCAAAGTCAAAGTCAAGAGGGTAAAAGAAGGGGAAACATCCCTCCTAACCTAAGGTACAGGAGAAAGCAGATGCGCACGCAATACTAAATGCTCACCTACGCCTCGGAAGTCGTGTATAGCATCTGAGGAAAGCAGCCACCCACTCGGCGCGAAATTGGGAGTCCACAGGTCAAAGGTCAATCGGGGCACAGGCAATTTCAGACATTCTGAGGACATGTCTGACTAGCGATTGGAACAACAACCTTTTTGTTCAGCGGGACGACTACCATATTCAAATGCTCTTGAACAACATGAAACTTACTTCCGCTGACATGCGAAGAGAATTCCGGTATAACCTTTTGGACCCTCAAGAGGAGTTAAACATTGATTGTACTTTAACAAATGACTGAACTGCTTTGCTATATTAGAAGCCCATACTTAGTGTGAATGTGAGCTACAGGTCCACCAGTTTAATGCAAATCAAATGTTTGAACAAGGTTTACGTCCTTAAATCACTATTTCTAAAGCAGCTGTCCTAAGCACCCGAGCTGAATCAGTGAAATCCACGTGGGTAGGCAAAAACCTCGGGGCAAGCCCATGGCTGGCACCTCTAATCACAATGTGCCTGCCAACTGCAATGCACCCTGTTCTGCAATGCATAGCAATTAGGATGGTTAAAGTCACTGATAATATTTGTCGAATGGCTACGAAAGTCAAACAAAATACCGAAACTTATGTCAAAGACCTTCTATGGCCAAATAATTTATCAGCAGCACACCCAAGACACCCAATTAGCCGCTGTCCGCACTGTCGCCCACTTAGTATAAATTATAATGCGATATACCGATGCAACCGTGTGCTACCCTGGGGGGCGCTAGAAAAACCATTACGAAGGTAACCACTTCCATGGCAACCAAGTCAACCTTTGACAAAATTGTCCCTTATGCCCAGGGAAACACCATTGCTCACATGTAATACAGCTACGTGGAATAAGCGTATCCTGCTCAATCTACCACGACCGCATCGGCGAGCTCCAGCTTTAGGCAGTGCCCTAAACTGAAGATTATAAAAACGTAAATGTCGAATCATTTAGTCACGCCATCACTGATCGGCGCACCACATCTCACACTTCACACACTCACAACATATTTCACATAAAAATGTAACACATATAATTATAAAGCCAGTAATATAATATTCACCATATAACTCTTCGTTTCTATAAGTACGTCGATGCTTCTCCCAATTCAAACTGACATCGGTCTTCTCAACCACTCATTGTTGTCCTTTTTGTGTGTACTACAGTGTCATTGACACCTTTATTTAGCTCACCTTGACATCGCAAAGAGCTATGCCATAGTGCGTGCCCGCATAACATGCCGCTCCGCTGTCTGTCGTCAACAGTGGCTACAGTCAACGATAACTTGAGAACTGTTAGACCCACATGTTCAAATCGCATACAGTTGTCCTCCTATGCCGGAGACCTTGAACGCTCCTATTTTTGGCGCACCCAGTTTAGCCTACCTTTCGAGCCCACTCCCCCACTTTTGCAAAATCGAAATGCCATAAGCCCAGTCACTTCAACGAATTTGCTCATCTCATGTGAAATGAATACAGGCGCCCCGACCAACATATCACCAGGGTTTGATATTTTTTATAAATTACTCAAATTAAGGTAGACTTTGCCTAATTCCTTAAAGGAACGACCTCCTAATCTCTACCGGTCCTTATTTTTCAGCTGATTTTAGCTATAATGCGCTACCTACACGTTTCATGTCCAATCACCCTAGAAATATTTTTTATAATGTAAAACTAACGACTACAGTTTGAATAGCAACGACGTCCACTCAAACGGGCCCACGATCCGCAGCCAATGCGGCAAAAACCACTTTCCACCAAGGCTACAGACCCAGCGAAAAATACACGTAGCGGCGACGATCGGCTCCCGTCCGCTATCAAGCGCCTGGTAAACAACAATTCACTAAGCGAAAATTTGGAAGATAGAGAAAAAATCGCTCCCCGTGTTCCGACCGACAGCCGTATAAATAGTTCCGACCCTGAGACCCGAGCCCACCAAGTTTTGCCGGCATAACAATACAGTTTTATATCTCAGTTAATTATCGTGGGAGTGAGGGCACGACCAGGACCCCCAGACCGGGATCGAGCGACAATGCGCACGTAACCAAAGCGTAACTGGGAATTCGTCACTGATTTGTAGAACTGAACATTTTATTCAGTAGATATCTAAACAATGAAACGGTATAACTTAAAAAGATCTAGGCACTTGTACCTTGCAGATGTTCCGCAGCATGGGGATCTATCATGGGTACCCGTGGACTGGAGGAGAAAACCACAAGTCAAACCCTTACCCAAACTCCCGCACTATAGAGATTGCCCAGTACAAATCTTGGATTTCTTAAATACCAAGAGTAACTAAAACTCTCAATCTGCAGTTCTGAACTTGCTGCATCCGAATGTACCAAATAAACGGTGAAAAATGAAAAGAAATAGTAAGCAAAGCACAACTTGAAAAATAACCATACCATCATTACCATGATAATAATTCTTGATTCCTGTCTGTCATCGCGTTACTGACCCTCTGCCATGGTAATGCATGTCGTGGTGTAAATGAAATGAATAGAATGTGATGGTTTCTATCGAGTTGAAATGAATAAAAACAATGTATCGAATGTAATTTGTTGACGATTCTATACACACATGAATCTATACTGTGCTGAGCGAATCTTAAATGATCTCAATTAGAGTCAGTGCATCAAATTAGAAAAGTAGACAAAATCATGCATGTGAAAACGCTAGCTCTGTCAAGCCTAAAATACTCCCTAAAAAAAGAGCGAGACTCTTTTTTCAAACAAAACAAAAAAAGCAGCTCCGAAAAAAACATTTAATTTTTAGGCTGCTACAGACCACAGTATTTCTTATTTATTCATTTAAAAGCAAAAGGATTGTAATATCTTATAAACGACATATATGGATAAATTTGCCCTAAAATGAATATCGTTCGGTTAAATAGCATTTAGGTATAAATATAATTGCACTTTTGTGATTAGCCCTCGGTCATTTACCTGCAAAATAAAAATGCAAATACGCAACTTTTTCAGGGTGGCAGCACGGTCGCGGGTGTCATGGCGCCGTTCAAATTTCGTAGCGCTGTGTAAATAATTAATTAAGTATCTGGTGACAAATACATGTAGGTATAGACGATTTGTTATACAGTAAGTACAGTTGTATGCAGTAAAATCCTAGAGGCTACTGTCCCTTTAAGCATTTCAGTGTCTGCGCCTACGGTCAACGATAACTCAAGAACCGTTTGACCCACATGTTTCAAATTTCATGCAGTTGTTACTCCTATGGGAGAGATTTGAACGTCCTATTTTGAAGCACGCCAGTCGACGTACTTTCGAGCCACGCCCACATTTTGGCAAAACTGAAAATGGCCATCTAGATTCATTTCCTTTTTGTTAAAGGGATAGTAGACTCTAGGATTTTTCTGCATTCAACTGTACTTACTGTATAACAAATCGTCTATACCCACACGTATTTGTTACCAGATACCTAATTTAATTGCTATAATTAATTACACATCAACGCTACGAAATTTGAACGGCGCCATGGCACCCGCGACCGTGCTGCCACCCCGAAAAAGTTGCGTATTTGACAACTTATTTTGCACGTTACAGACCGAGGGCTAATCACAAAAGTGCGATTATATTTATACCTAAATGCTATTTAACCGAACGATATTCATTTTAGGGCAAATTTATCCATATTATAACTGAAACTATATGTCGTTTATAAGATATTACAATCCTTTTGCTTTTAAATGAATAAATAAGAAACACCCTCGGTCTGTAGCCCTTGGCTGAAAAGTGGTTTTGCGCAACTTATCAGATCGTGCGCTTTGAGTGGCGTCACCGTCGTTGTAATCAAACTGTAGTCATTATTTTTTAAACATTTTTGAATAATATTTCTAATGGTGATTGAACCATGAAACTTTTTATGTAGCGTAATTTTAACCTAAATTAACTGAAAATAACCTTGAAACCTAGAGTAAACGATCCCTTTAAATTTACCTACCTACCTACCTACCTAATCATACCTACGTGTAATATTGTGTTTTAGATTCTCTGTACGGTAATTTGACTGGAATACTTTATTGCTTTTATTTGCGCGATAATCAAAAACCAAAATGGCGATCATTTAGGCGTAGCGCCATCTTTCGCCCACATTTCAGACTTTCAGATCTGAAACATTTATTTTTGCATCAAAACTAACCCTGAAACAAAACAGTGAAATGTCTATTAGTATAAAACAGGGAATAAAAACATTTGATCACATTTCGGTCCGTCATAAATGAAACACTTACCAAATTTTAACTATCATCTCCCTCTTCTATCACACCCAAGGTGAGCTATAGTGTCATTGATACTTTCATTACTTATATAATATATAATATTATTATAATATATAAATAATATTATGTGTGTGTATATATATGCAATCAATATGTAATAATTTGGGTTGAAGTAAAATCTGTCATGTATGGTTGTGACTAATGTGATCTACGACTGTGTCTTCTGTCACCAGCCCCTGCCAGCCTACCGCCCCATCAGAGCATGTCTGTGTACCAGCCGGCTGCTATGCCTATGGCAACCCTACAAGGCTTCCCTTACTATGCTCAGCCTCCACCTGCATCTTCTCCAGCAGCAAGCTCAGACACTAGTCTCCAGGTAGGAGTGGTATTACAGCTACAGGTTACAGTATGTGCTGGCCCAATGCAGCATGGTACAAGTTGTTATTGCCATCTAATGTACTAGAGTAGTTTTATTCACTCCATGAGAATAAGTATATGGCTGATGATCATAGTAGAATATATCACACATTGTATGAATTGCTGACTAGTGTTCAAAGCTGTTTCAGCGTGGGTATGTCTGGGGTGTAGTTTGCTGCTTCGGTCGCATGGTACCACTGTGCTGATGGCCTGATGCTGGCAATTTCCTGCTTGCAGACGTTTATGATGGAGAGCAGGCAACAGAGCACAGAAGTCAGACTTTCCCTCAGCAAGCTACAGGACAGAGTGGACCAGATCACTGCAAAGGTGACCTCAATACTAGCATCGTACTATCTCTGGGTCTGCAGGTGCATATAGTGACACTATACTGCCCGTTTAAATGCTTATCGCATTGTACTGTTTATTACGTAATTACAATAAAACTATAAGATTAATAGCAGCAGTGATGACATTGTACTAGAAGAATGATGACTGCTTTGTTATTGATGACAGATAGAAAAGCTTCCCACTTCTAGCCCACAAGGTGGTCAGGTTGCTCTGCCTGCATTTGGGTCAGCCATGCCAAGCATGGACACGGCAATACTCATGAATAGCGTACAGAAGATTGTACAGGTATTAGTAATGTTAAAATAATATCTCAGATCTTTGGTGGGCATGTTTGCGGCTACATCTAAGTCAATGAATATATCTGACTCGCAGCATTTCATCTCTGTCCAACGATGTATCACCATAACTGTAACAGGGTGTGATATTTACAGTAGTCGAATACTATATAAACTATTATAAGATTTATTCACAGATGAGAGGATGCCAGATATATTAAGTGTACTATGGTGACAAATTACCAGATAACAAAATCTAGTTATCTATACTATGCTTACTGGGTAAGGAAGGTTGTATAGTAGGTAAAGGAATATAATAGCCTACCTTATTACAATAGCAGTTGTTTGAAGAAGCTCAGTGTGTACCGTTGTTGCCTCCAGGAGAACGAAAAGCATAAAGCAGAGATTGTAGAGAAGAATGCTAAGCTGGAGAAACAGAATGAAAAGATAGCGGAACTATTGGATAAAAACCAACGGTCAGTCATATTACTGTTACCTAGTGTTTAGAAACTGGCTTGACTAACAATAAATATCAGGAGATGGGAATGATCTAGGGAGCATTGGTGGTTTGCTACAAAAAGAATGGTCATTTTTCAAGGGGTGGACAGGCTCTACTAGTCATGTCTCCATGCTATTATTCACACCTGCAAGTAGACAACTGAGCATGTCACAGTGATGTGCTATGCATACAGTCACACAACTGACTGATTGATTGCACAGTGATTTCTGTCACATACTGTCACACAACTGCATGCTTGCTGGCATGTCACCATGATGTGCTACACACACACGCTCATCCCTGGTAGTTGCATTAAACTTTACAGGTTCATGGAAAACAGTAACACGTGGATGGAACAGAGACATGATATATTTAAGAGCAGCTCTGAGCAGTCACAGGTCCAACTTATCACACTACAGCAGGAAAAGGTGAGTGCACAAACAGGAGCTTGATGCATAATTTTTCATTGTCGAATCAAACTAATCTTGAGTGTTCATTTCGCTCATGAGACATGTTTTCACGGTTTCGGTTGCAGTGTAAATCTGTATGATTACTCACATAATTTACCTATTTGCCTTGCATGATTAACAGATCTAGCCAATCGGTCGTCATAGGCAATTCTAAAATCAGTGCTTGGCCACAAAGTGCTACTTGATGTACATTTTGGCGTGCAAACATTAAAAATGTCTACAAACTAAGTGAGCTTGACTAACCTAGCAACAATATCCAACTGGGTGGCCATGCTCAGATGGCCCAGTCAGTTATAGGTGGTCATAGAGAGTTAGAATATTTTTAGCACTTGAGTTATACACCTCAGCTGAAGTGCTACTCTCCACGGCGCTTTCTCTTTTAACGCCTACCATTCAGATTATGATGGGTGGTGAGCTGGCAGTCGCAGAGTCCAAGGTCACAGCTCTGCAGAGCCAACTTTCTGCTGAGCAGGAAAAGGCTGTAGCGTTGACAGGGCAACTAGCCGCATACTGTGCTGATGCAGTCAAGCAGCGTGAGGAGGCAACCCATCTGAAAGCCATGATGTCAGGTGGGTGTGATTTTGTCGTGTCAATCACACATGCCGAACAGATCACTGGTGCCTGAGTTGTAACCTCGTAACCTCGTAAATATTAGTCATCAAAGTCTACTAGTCTCATCAAAGGGACTATATCGAAGACGGAAAGAGACAATTTTGATCAAATAGACAGATCAATACTGTGGATCGCAGTAGAAAAGCCTCGTTTGCAACTAACTAAAGAGGAAGGGAGAGAATTCCAATATGGAATGGCAGAGACAAAGAAGCTAATTACCTTGAAGGGTTCATTTGAATATGACGTGTGTCGAAAGTTTTCTGCATACTCTCCTCATCCTATACATTGTACATAATTTGTTGTGTCGGCTGCATACAGATAATACTAACGTTGATATATCCTAACTGCTCATGATGCTTTTTTTGCATTTGTGCAGAGAAGGAGCAAAAGCTTGCTTCCCTCAGCCAGTTGCTCTGTGAAGAGGAGGTGAGGAAGAAGGAAGCTGAGCATAAAGTAAAACAGCTAGACAGTGAACTAGACATTCTACGTGAGAAGACGAGGAGTTTAGAAGAGGTATTATTTTATGTAAAACAGATATATGTTGACTCTTTTTGCATCCTAGTGTGCATCGGTGCTTACGAGATAAGCCATTTAGCATTATACATAAGATCTCACCTCAACCCTTAATAATATTGTCAATGTTGCTTTACAGATTTATCATGTCACAGATATGTATATATATATTACATATCACTTTATGATACCTGCTCCGTAAATCATGACACTCTCGTTCCCCTTGCTGACATGGCCCCGTTTTTCTCAGACGCACAATGAGATGGAGGGGAAGTTTTCCTTGGTGACGCAGAATGCAGAAACAGATATATGGGCATTGAAGGCAGAACATGAGGTAAGTGTATGAGCAGAATAGTGTGTCCTATGTATACTGTGGTGTTCGGTAACAGGAACTGTATACATCAAATGTGAATTTGTCTTCAGTCAATATATATCCGAAAATCTCTATCCTACTCTCCCTTTCCCTTTCCCCATTCCTATCCGTCCATCCCCCTTTCTCTCCCTCCATCTTTCCTTATCTCTCCCCCCCCCTCTCCCTCCATCTTTCCTTGTCTCTCTCTCTCCCTCTCTCTAGTTATGAATGAGAGTACTGTGGGTGTTAATAGGCATATAACAGACAGTATAATTAGCTCATTTATCCTTGTACATGAGAGAAATTAGGAAATGAACATCCACAATGTAGACGCGTGTGACATTGCTCTCTGCTTTTCTCTTTCCATGCGCTATGTTGTTTCCTGGTAAATCCGTGCTGCTGATGGTATGTTGTAATTGTTGCTGTGGTTACCGTAGCCCGTTGCCAGCAGCAGTGTAGGTTGAGTCAGATGTAATGGTATCACCTAACCACGCATGTTTCTGCAGTGACATGATCTTCTAACTACTTCACCAACATAACTCACTCATACGTCGCACTGTTTAATAACCATATAACTCGGTATAACTATTCTGTGATGGGTATGAAGTGGTGGATGCCTTTTCGACAAAGATTCTACGCATGAGAAGGCTTCAGAGAACCTTTGCAGATTTTGTAGTCAGACTCCTAATGCTCTATACTTTTATTGTTTCTATAAGTAGCAGCTGTGAATAGTATTGCTGCATGGTGAACAGTATTAAATATTTAGTGTTGATGTATTTAGGGTTGCCTTGTGATCGAAGTGTGTTTAGTGTAACTCTTTGTTTCTGTTGGGAAATTCCCGTGCATTTTGCTGCTAACATAAATGCTGCTCTACTGCTAGTTCATCGTTGGATTCCTTCTTATAAACATATTTAAATGATATATATATATTAGTATAATTTATATACATTTTTTTAAATATTATATTTTTCCCTTTTAACAATATATCCACATTTGCTAAGCTGTGAGGTATATACTCATTTCATATATTGTAAACCTGTATTAATTCATTGTTTGAAATTTATAAACCTATGCTCTGGGAGAAAGTTTAGTAAAATATCTTAAATTGCTAATAATTAGAAACATAGAATTATAGTACTAAAACATTAGCTGATGTTGTAATGATAATTTATCACTTGTATGGTGCTGCAGCCCATGCTCACCTCCCTATAGTATTTTTTTGTAATAAATCGGTTGTTCATTAACATCTACCCATTGTAAACCTTTCCCTGATATATGTATTTACTATAAACAGTCACGCTTAACACTAGTTGCAATACAATATATGTAATCATTGTCAATTACGATGAGTTTTTACACATTACAGTAATGTATGGCATGGACTCCAGCAAATTGCGGGACAGTGCACAAGTGTGCTAGAGCATACTTATACGACTTTATACTGATAACCTTACTTGAAACAAACTGCAATACAGGCTTAACCTACATATCTATGTGTTACATCTAATGGCCCTGTCACACCTTGACGATTTAGCCAGCGTATGCCGACGTATCAAAATTTCTCTAAAACGCTGGCGTACGTCGAATAAGTTATGGGTAAGTTGTGTATAAGTTAAGAGCACGCTGAAGCACGCTGGTATACGTCGTAGTACGGCGAGGTCATCGAAAAATTTTGTGTATGCACAAAATTTTTGCCGTATGCCAGCATATGGCTCATACGTCCCGCATACGCGGGCCATAAGTTGTAGGTAAGTTATGCGATCGTTGACACACGTTCACACACGTTACTTGTAAGTTACTCATGTTAAGTTATCAAGTCGAGATACGTCGAGATAATGTCTAGCGTACCCAAAACTTATTTCTAACCTATGAGTAACGTGCTTTGAACCTATGTGTAACTAATATCGAACTTATCTCCAACGCATATTGACGTATGTAGACGTATTTGACGTGTTCTGGACGACCACAGAACTTACTGAACGTGTTTCTAACTTACAGCTACCGTATAATGGCGTATTGGCAGCGTTTAGGGGAATTGGTATTTAAAAATGGGGTACTGCGACGGTGATGTTGATACTGCGATGTCTAGTGCGGTTATGATTTGAATCGTCGAGCGGCAGCCTTTTTATAGACTACGACACGTGATCGTCGGCGATACGCTGCCGTGCGCTATGCATAAGTTAGACTATCGTTGGGCATAAGTTGTGAACGCCGGCAACACGCTAAGCATTCGTTGGTATAAGTTATCTATAAGTTATCGAAAGGTTCTATGTAAGTTACTAATACGTTATGCATACGTCCAACTCGTTATAAATACGCTATGTATATGCCCAAAATTGAAAAAAACATCGATAGTTCAGCGTATGCCAGCGTTTTAGAGAAATTTTGATACGTCGGCATACGCAGGCTAAATCGTCAAGGTGTGACAGGGCCATAAATACAATACAATTCTGGTAACAATGATGGTAATATGTTCAGACATTCAGTACTGTCACACGTATAGTCGAGTGTATAGTGTCAATATGATATTTCACATATACATTCATGCACATTCCCTCTCTTACAGGAGGAGGCTAGGAAGCTGAGTGAAGCCCTAACAGAAGAGCGAAGGGTGTCAGAGGAGAGCATGAATAAAAGGGTGCGGGATGCGTTTAAATAAGACGCCCAAATTGTATTCCTTCTGTTCTATGAGGGACTGGGATCTAGTATTTGTCATTTATGATTCATTTACATATGTCTTGGTTATCCTCACACAATATAAGATCTTTCAGCTGTGTAATATTTGGCATAATGCTAGCATGAAGACTTTCCTCAATTTTTTACAGCTCGTCAATACAACAGCGACCGTTGTGGAGGAGTGGAAGGTAAAGCTTGCTAGTTGCATGGAAACTGCAAATCAGCAACATAGTGATGAAATAGAGAAGGCAGAAGAGACAAAGACACAGTTGATGAGTGAGCTTGAGGAAGTCAGATTGCAGGTGTGTGTTGTCCCATATTGTGCCCTATATAAATATTATGCTGTTCTTTATATAGGCATATATTATATATGTATATTAGGCTTTTTTAGGAGGTGAAATATGATCTGCACGTTGTTCTCATTAATAGTTGAGTAAACGTCTTCCAGATGGATGCTGAGCGACAGAGACAAGTAGCTCATTCTACTGAGCTTCAGGAAGAGATAGAAGTTATGCAAGTCTGGAAAGACAAAGTATGTAATCATTCTTCCTGCTCGATTATTATTCAATAAAATACGTTAATCGTTTACCAAAAACACAGCAATGTGAGTCCACAAGTTCTTGATCATAGATCCATTTTGTCTGCATGTGTCGGATTTGTTTTTTGTTGGGTAACTAACTAGCAAGCTATGATAAGCTACAACCAGCAAGTTCTATCATCATGTCATCGGTTGGTTCTTTCCAGTATATTGCACTGAGGGAACAGGCAGTTGCAATGAAGTTGGCATACACAGGTAAGATAGAGGAGCTAACGGCAAAGCTGGAAGAGCAGGAGTCCTCCAACCAGGCGCCTAGCACTGACGTAGCTCTTGAAGTGAGAAATGGATGCGTGTGGGTGGCTGGGTGCATTAATGTGGGGGGGGGGGCGGTTGCATGCGTGTGTGCTTGCAGGCGTCTGTGCGTGCGTGTGCATATATGCCTACATGTGTGTGCATGTGTGTTATTTAATTGCATGTGTTCAGAAGTGCCCATAGGTGTGTGATAGTATGTCTGCGTGCATGGGGCATGTTCTAATAAAACAAACGCCTGCATTTACCATTTGTACTTCATTGAAATATTATCAATTGAAATTGAATTTAGATCAGAGAATGAACATGAATTTTACACTGTGCTAAGATCTAGAAGCATGTAAATGTTCACACTATTGTCGTAGATTTCGCTGCTTGCGATTGTTCGAAAATCTTAGAGGATTAGTTGGTGAAAATCTTGAAACTGTCTTGTATATTGGATGGAAACGTCCTTATTTAAAACTAGCTTTAATATTGAATATTAATTTTTTTAATGATGTTATCCTGTGATGGCAGTAAAGGGTCTTGATAGTTATGCTCAGGTGGTAGGCAAATGTCTGGAGCTGAGTAATATGGCTTCATCCATAGGTGAAGCGGGTGATGAGTGCCGTCTACCATGCGGCACGCAGCGAGTTTGAAGAACAGGAGAGCTACAGCGGCGCCGAGGTGCAGTCAGCACTGCTCCGTACCATAAAGGTATCGTGTTGACATTCCACTCACGGTGGCTCAAAGTGCACTGCGATCACAATCATCTTTTGAATCGGAGTGATCGATTTGGGGGAATTTTTCTTGTGCGATCTTTTACAATGTATCACGTTCTCTGTGTGACGTGCAGTATTTATACACAGGAGGTGACCTTGCAACTGCTGAGCCCTGCGGTGAGGGAGAGGTCGGAAAGCGAGGCCATGTCAGAGGGTGAACAGGATTCGCAGCCTCAAATCAGACAAGAGTCACCTTTGACTGAACACAGACAACAGTCGGTTGCCGAGAATGTCACTCGCGAGAGTGCAGCTGAGGAGGCTCCTGAGAGTGAATCGACGGCTAGGGATGCAGAAGCGAGTGACGAATCATTTGAGTTTGTCCAGAAGACTAACGATAGTAGTGACCGCCAGCCAGAACCAGCAGAGTTACCTGTGGTATCGGTGCATGAGGATGACCTGGAACCGCAAGGGCAGGCCAGCAGTATGCTGGGTCCGAATGAAAACCCAGAAGACGCGGAACAGATGGGAGGTGCCCCGGCAAAAGAACCTGTAGTTCAGCTAGGAGAGTATGAGCAACAGACACAGCTAGAACCGCAGCAAATGGGGGTAGAGTGTGAACGACAAGAGCAGGTGGAACCATCTGAAATGCTGGCTGAACAAGAACAATCAGTGCAGGCAGAGGGAGGAGCAGAAGAACATACTAAAGCAAAGATTCCTGTGGAGTCTGGGGAGTCAAACGAAGGTGTTTGTCATGAAGATCATCAACGGGGGCAACCAGAGAGTGCAGCTGTGGATATGTGTGCAAGTGTAGGGGAACTTGAACAGGAGGATGAGGAGGAACAGTGGCAACAGGAACAGCCTGAGGAAGACAGTCTCTCTGCAAGGATCAGGGAGCAAGAGCAGCAACAGGAACAGCCAGAAAACGAGGTGCTTCCTCAACAGATAGTGCCTGATAGAGAAGCTGCAGAGAGGGTTGGGTATGCCGAAGGAGGTGAGCACATAATAGATGAAACATCTGAGACAGAGTCGCTAGAAGCAGAACCTTTGGATGACCTGCATCAGCAACTGACCGTTGATTTCAGAGAGCCTCCAAATACATCCTTTCCAGAGGGCAATGAGTATCTTTCCAATGAATCGAAGAACAGCTCAGCAGTGGGGCAAGAGGAGGTTCCGGCATTAGTGAGAGAGAATGAACCAGCATTAGTGCAAGAGGAAATTCAAGCATTAGTGCAAGAGGAGGTTTCATCATTGGTGCAAGAGGAGGTGCCATCATTGGAGCAAGAGGAAATACCAGCATTGGTGAACGAAAAGGTGCCAGCATTGGTGCAAGAGGAGGTGCCATCATTGGAGCAAGTGGAGGTGCCATCATTGGAGCAAGAGAGGGAGCCAGCATTGGTGCAAGAGGAGATGCCATCATTGGTGAAAGAGGAGGAACCATCATCTGTGCAAGAAGAGATCCCAGCCTTGGTGCAAGAAGAGGAACTGGCAGTGGTTCAAGAGGAGGACCAGCCATTAGAACAGGGGGCCTCAACATTGATGCAGGAGGAGCAGGAGGTAGCCTCATTGCAGCAAGAGGAGGAGGTAGCATTGATGGAGGAGAAGGTCTCCGAGGACCCCAAATCAGTGTCAGGGCAATCAAGATCATCAGAAAAAGCTAGCACAAGGTACATTCATAACAATGGTTCAAGTTACATGAAAGTCAACTAATGTTGTAAAGAGGTCAGTACATCATAAAGGAAATAATGTTTTATGACTAATTGCAGTTTATTCAATGATGATGATGATGATGATGAAGAGGGATGCCGAGTTGGGAAGCCGCCTGCTCAGCTTGTATCGTGTCCTCCCAGTAGAAGCAAGGTAAAACTGTCTGCTAAGAAAACCCCTCCCGAAGGGACTAAAACATCTACAAGGTAATCAGAGATTTAAATATATTATGCCTACTGTTTTGCCATAACTAACAACTAACGAGATTCATAACGTTAAAAAGATGAATCACTTGGGAAAGGGGACTTTGTGTAATGTGATATATTTGACTCCAACTTGCTTGTGTATGCTAAGAGCGTATTCTATGCTAGTAATTGTATTGCTATTGTGTGCTAACAGTGTATGCTAACAGTGGTGCAACCTTTTCACCTTGTCCTTATACAGTTGTTCTGTTCAAGGTCTGAGTTAATGGCTTTGTTGTCTACACGGTTATGAGCAACATGAAAAATAAGCCCATTATGAATATCTGCCACTCATTATAATGAAAAACGATTTTGTCACGTTTCTTTCTGAAAATACGTATGGACAAAAATGGGTTTTAAATAAAGTGGGGTATAATACTGAGATGTAGAGACAGTGGTGTGGTTTCATGTTTTCACTGCAGAGCAACACCAGTTATTCGAGTAATCTAATCATGACTGCACAAATTTTTTTGACGTGGTCCTAACAGGTGCTGCCTTCGCTCTTTCAGCTTATTTGAAGAGGACGATGCCGAGGATGAACAATTTGGAGTCTCTCTGTTTTCGCAGCCGTCGGTTCCTGCCCAACCTTCCAGCCTGCCAGGGCAGCAGGCATCACACACGCCCAAAGACTCTGCCTCACGTCGGCTGGTCGATGAAGCTATGGATAGTGACACGAGCAGCAATGACAGCAGCGTAAGGGATAGTGTGTCATGTAGTACAGTACACAATCTATTATCCGAAACCCTTGGGACCAGACACGTTTCAGAATTCGGAATTTTTCGGATTTCGGAATGGTAGTACAGTACAGGTATACATACCGTATATCCTGCAACTAGCCAGTACTAAAACCCAAGTTTTCAAGGGGCCAAGTGCTGTACCAGTGCAGTACAATATGTATGAGTAATGCGAAACACATTAATATTTCTGCAGTGAACCTTGTGCAGCCAAGCACGAGCTTTGGTGTGCAGCCGACCTCCTCGAAAAAACTTTCGGTTTTCAGAGTTTCAGATAATGGATTGTGTACTGTATATAAACACTCATGTGCCCATAGTTCAGCATCACGTAACCACTTTCAGCTTGCAATCGTATGCCTACTTGTTGGTTATTACAGCCACTCACCTACATGTAATATGTAACCACTCCCATCCAAAGCTTATCACGACTCTCCTACGTGTAGCTTATTACCACTTGCGTGCTAGTAGCATACACTTACCTAGCTTTACATTACAACAACCCACCTCCTGTAGCAACACCCGTGACTAGTAACAGCTCGTCTATCTGTAGCTTATATGTTCCCTGTAGCTGTGCCATGCAACCTTGTTCCTCCTAACCCTCAACCCGTACACCTTTAATACGTGTGCGTGCGTGCGTGCGTGCATGTGCTCGTGTCAGAGCTAAATGTGAGTTTGTCTCGCATCACAGGGTGCAAATGCTGGACGTCCTGTTCCGCCACCACTGTTCGGGGATGACGATGACGACGACAACGACATCGATTGGTTCAAGTGAACTTTGCATTGTAATCATGGTGATCTGTTTGTGGATTGTAACGGGCAGAGAGAGCAGAAAAGAACCCTTATATGAGACCCGATATTCACTCTGCTCAGTATTTAATAGCATTGTAATACTTTTTTTAATATGTGTGAATAACGAACAAAAGAACAATATGGAATACAGGACACGGTGAAAGTGAAGGTGGTACGTCTACCTTAATCAGTCTGCATCGTACAGTTGGTATTGTTGACTTCACACACTGCTCTCAATATAGCAATATGATAACGATTACTGTCATGAGATGTTACATCATATTCGATTTCGCCGTTCACGAAGAACTTGTATCTTAAAATTTATTTGTAATGAAAATACTAGTAAAGTATAAATATATTAACTATCACATATGCAATATATGAGGATCTTGTAACATCTCCTGTAGCCTATACAGGCCTTGCTATTAGAACAATCTAAATGTATTCACAAACACTATTGCTTATATTTGATATATAGGGTCAACAAACGTGGATGCGTCCACTGACATACAAAGCTTTTAAGATATAATCAGGAGTAGATAAAGGGAACCCCTTTATCTACTCCTGATATAATGTTACTGAGTATTAATTAGCCCAATATTTTTGTTTATTGTTATTAATCTAGGATGTGTAAAAGATGTTAAGCTGTTAAAAACTGCCCATTAGCCTGAAAACGTTTGAAATCATGATATTGTGTATGTATATTGTGTTTTTTAAGTTTGACAAATTTTGATAATTGTGATATATTAAAAAAAAGAAATTGACCATTAAAATGAGTATTTTTAAATATAACTGGCTTAGAAATATCTTCCATCCAACATTGTATTTCAACTGTAGAGGGCATCTATAGACAGCAGGCCTGAATAATCATGACACAAAATATTGTAAAATTACTTTACCATGTATATTAAATGTACAAATATGAATCTTGACCTCTTGACCTCGTGACGTGGGCTTTCAAATTCTAAGGAGCTATATATCAAGAACGGAGGGAAGATGATGGTTAGGAACAACCACAGTGGCGATGACTGTGGGTGGGGGCGATGACGAACGACCGTAGTGTAGATATAAATATCTATGGGACGATGACCACAGATTCGGTGTCCAGGCAGGAGGGGACAATTTGCAGGTTGCAGGGAGCAGGGGATTTGATATACAGCCTGACCAAACACACAGACATCATCACAACATGTCTGTATCACTATTGTAAATACAAATACATGTAATCAGTCAATTTTTTTTGGTACAAAATTCTGATATTTTTATTTATTGTTCATCCATCGGCTTCCTATCCTTATCCATTTAATAATGCAGTAAACATGCTTTCTAACCTATATATGCCAAATTCACGTAATGCATCTAGTGCCATAGTACGGGCGATTCTTGTAAGAGCTGACACAAAGGTTGGTTTTCCAGACTAAAATGTTATCAATAAATAATACATCCCAACTGCATACCCTATTCGCGTGTATGTTAAAATCCACTGAATAAGTGGCTAAGAATGATCAATTGATTGTTTTTAGTCGGTGCACAATCTGTATACTGTGACCAGTTGTTCTATTGCCGACTACTTTTACCAGGGTAGCCTAAGAATTTGAAATCTGCCTTGAAATGTTTAAATATAAGCTATCATACTTTTTATCAAGAGCGTATAAAGAAGTGCGTAAAAGCGTAAGAGCGTAAGTAAGAGCGTATTTATAGTAATAACCTTGAATATTGAATACTGACACTATCACATGCGCTTAATTACAAAACACTTTTGATTATGGAAATCAAATAAGATTTTAACTATCATGTGAAAAGATTTTAGGTAAAAACTCGTGTAAACGCATATAACTATAGCATTTAGCTGCTAGTCCTAAATACTTTCCCAACTGTATCTCTGCATAGATTCTCTACATTGTTTAGAGAGTCAGAATGATCATCCAAAATATGTATTCCGATGGCAAATCAAAATGAATAAATTCACCAACACCGAACACCAACAACGCAACCGTTTTACTTATGACAAATATGATGTCATTGCTACACTCAATCACAGATATTCACAAAACAGCACGTACGAATAGATACACATACGTATGGAACCATTTTCCATCATTTCAGTGACTTTGTGACAACAATGATCGAGTGTCTATTATCGATAATCAAGTTGGGTTGAATGCAAATGTGAAATGCATTTCTGATACCTTCATCATACATTTTATAATAAGCATCTAATGTTAATATTACAGATCCTTTTGACAACGTCACGCTGACTGCCAATGCGTTTTAAACATAGCTCATCCAAAACGAAATGGCTAGATTGGGTCACAATTATGAAGTTATCCAAGAGAAGACATAGTGTTATCAATATTTACCAACAGATGGCAGCGATGGCCTAGCCTTGACAAAGTCTACTCACGTAGCATGTTTCAACAGGTTGAATAAGTTACTGGAACCAGCCACCTGTTTTTGGCAGATCCACCTGCTCTAGAGTAGTAATATCTAAAATGGTCACCGATTCAATATTGCATTTGGATTTTGAGAGCCCATATATATATATATATAACTGACATCGCAGTAAGGCATGAGAGGACGTGTGCCGCATGACGACCCTGATCCCTATTGCAAACTCGTGTGAAACAAGCTTAACATATCAAGTTCAGAAATGTTTTATGCATGAAGGTTTTCAATAAGACGACAGCATCATAAATTTTGGCACAAGCCCTGCACACCATACCTTAAAAAACAAATCGATCATCCATGCATGCAAAACCCCTTGAAAGCACAGATTAGCATAGCTGATCAGTCATAGTACATTCCTCACAAGAGAATCCACCTGCTTTGTTCATGTAGCCCTCAGTAGCCTTTCTTTACTCGTTCAGGCAACACAGCGTCTTTAGCATAGTTGAAGAAGGTTAGCAGCCCATAACGTTTGCCCTTGCGGCTGAAGTAACTACTCACGACATCTTGACTATCTGCTGAAAGTCAATGAAAAAGTGTCAGCGTAATTATGAGACGTTTATGAATGTAGAAGTGAATTATCTGGGCAACAATGCGATTATGCACACATTCATACCACGATGGCATATAGCACTCATGGATCTGTAACTTTTGCCTAAGAGATTTTTTTTTCATAAATTCAACAAAATTATATAATCTGAATGCCGAGCACTGTTATCAAGCAATTGCATAGCTAAACATCTATGATCACCACAGCTCGAGTATCAAATATTATATACAAAGGATGTGTCAACAAGAGACATGTAATCACACCAGTCACGATGAACTACACGAACAGTTTACATCGCCATCCTACAGGGCATGCAGACATGATAACATTGAAGTAACGCTCCTGCTAGATCTGTGCTGAAGGTACGGCGGTCATGGGCCACAAACACCATTCTGTGCATACTTACCTGGTTTCTGCAGTGGCGCCCCCTCTCCTATCGTTGGCAATACAAGCTCGTTTGCAGACAAGGAGATGAAGAACGTGAATGGCACAAGCCACTGGCACAATGTGAAGTAGGATAGGATCTACAAAGCAATGGCAACAGTAGATATAGTACACAGTAACACAATGAAAAGATGATAATAATAAAATAACACACTATAAATAATGTAGAATAGTATGAACAAAAGCCATAGCTATAAATTTACAAGTGATTATAAATACATACCTCAGAAAATGGGTAGTATACATCCGAGAAGTGACTAAAAGCCAAATAATGGTTGACACAAATAAACACTGAAACATAGAACAAGTAATGTTAAATGAATAACACATTCATTCTACATACTTGTATAATCGTTCTAGGTAATATTGGTAAATTGGTAAGAAACAATTTGTTGTGGCAGATAAGCTGCACATTTTATTAATACCTGGGTGGATATCATATAAACAATCCTGATTATGACATTCAGCATGAAATCTAAATACAAGCACATTGAAGCTAGCATTACAAATTAAAAATATTTAGTCACTCTCACCAAGTGAACCAATCAGTGCTGGTGACGTCAGTTCCAGGTATGGAAATGTTTGCAGCAACAGTAAGTGGCAAAACTGAGCAGCTATACCACAGATGAGCAGCATCCATGGAAACTCATGCTCAAACACCAACAATCCAACATATATTGCTATTATGCACTGCAAGAAAAGATTAATAATAAAACAATATCAAACAAAACAATATAGGCTACAACAAATAATCTAAACATCAGCATTAGTATGACTGTTTTTTATGCTGATTAAATCCTCTGGTGTTGCCAGTTACCATTTTACAAGCACTAGAGTATGTGAAGCATCATGTTATTTCATTTCACAGGTTTCAGTTTTTGGAAACGCTAGCACCGAGTGTAATGACAGGTCGGCCTACAGAGTTAGTTCTCGCACCAGAATGGTATGAGTTTGTCAAGATTAGTCGTGTTTTCCAGAACTAAGGAGAAATATATATAACTACTATAACTGTTTTAGTTATCGAATGAATAAAAATTCCACAACAAAGGATTTGGATTATGGATTGGATTATTAGAATCACATCAGACACGTGCGGCTACAATGATAATAAGACACTACATCTCATAACCTTACAAAAATGTTTGCAACAGAGGCGGATACTTACAAAAATTGTATATCTGATAACCTTGGCCGTGGTTGTCGTGTATTCTTCTACAAGTTCGGCAAGGTAATATAGTCCAGCCGCTGAAACAAGCAACAGATGGCTATAAGCATATATCCACTGACACAGCTTAGAAAAGTTACACCTATTATATCAGAACTATATCTTATGATGCAGCCTCTGCCAAAATGGAGGATGGCATACACATCGACATGGTACAGGCTGCTACTACAGGTCATTTCACAATTTTACCTGATACCATGTTCTACTGTAGTACTATAGCGTATTTGTGCATGCATGCATGCGTGTGTGCAGTACATGTGTGTGATGTAGGTATATTTGTTAGTGTTACGTGCAATTGTCAATTGATTGCACTGTGCATTCTTAAAATCGTGAGATTGAGCGGCAATCGCGGGTCTCGAGATTGCACAAGGCTCCACAGGTACTTGAAACAAACTCGAGTCGAGTGTTCATTGTTGAGTGTTGTAATATCATAAATATGTACAATGTATTGATATTGTATTTGTAATGTAACTTACAAATGTAAAATACAATGTAAATTGTAAATGTAAATTGTAATTTAACTTGTAAGTTGTAGGGCCCTAACTAGCCACAAGTTCCCTTCTCGCTTAACGGGTGTGAATAAAACCCGGCCCCGGACCCGGACCCGGACCCGGACCCGGAAAACCTGCATAAAACCCGGACCCGGACCCCGGACCCAGACCCGAAAAACCTGCATAAAACCCGGACCCGGACCCGGAAAACCTGCATAAAACCCGGACCCGGACCCCGACTCGTGAATAAAACCCGGACCCGGACCAGAACCTCAAGGCCACGCGTGACGCGGCGGCTTTTGATGTACACGATCGATCGATCGGCCTGCGTAGCACACGCGGCACACATCACACACACACACACTTGAAGCGTGAATAAAACCCGGACCCGAATAATAATAATAATAATAAGGACTGATATATAATCGGTCCGGACTGGTACTAAATGAATCCGTACTGATACACAATGGGTTTTACGCAGATACACGCACGTACACGCGGGTACACGGAGATACACGCACGTACACGCGGGTACACGCACTACACGCAGGTACACACAGCGTACACCGGGTTACACGCACGTGGCACGCAGATACACGCACGTACACGCGGTACACGCAGGTACACGCAGATACACGCACGTACACGCAGTACACGCACGTACACGCGGGTACACGCACGTACACGCACGTACACGCAGATACACGCACGTACACACGGGTTCACGCACGTACACGCAGATGCCGACGGACACGGACCCGAGCCTCAAGGCCACGCGTGATGCGGCGGCTTTTGATGTACACGATCGATCGATCGGCCTGCGTAGCACGCGCGCCACACATCACATACACACACACTTGCAGCGTCAAATAAACGCGTGAATAAAACCCGGACCCGAATAATAATAATATAATAATAAGGACTGATATATATTTGCAGACTGGTACTAGAAGTGATTCGACTGATACAGAATGGGTCCGGACGGTACATAATGAGTGCGCGGACAGGTATAGAATGGTCCGGACGGTACATAATGGTAGTCCGAAGCATATAGAATGGGTCCGACTGATACAAATGAGTCCGGTCGAGTCACCGGACTTATGTAGAATGTGTCCGGACTGGTGTAGAATTGGTCCGGACTTATGTAGAATGTGTCCGGACTGGTGTGAGATGGGTCCGTACTGATACAGCATGGGTCCGGGCTGATGCAGAATGAGTCCGGACTAATGCTGTGCGTCGGATCCGATAATCCGAATCCAATCGGATTCGGATTCGGATCGGATTTACAATTTTTAAAGAATCGGATTCGGATTCAAAATTGTCGTAGGATTCGAATTTGGAGTCGGATTTTCAAAAATGCTGTCAGATTCGGATTGCGTGCGTGTGCACGTACACGTACGTGCGTGCGTATGTAGGTACACGTGCATGCGTGCGTGCGTGCGTGCGTGCGTGCATGCGTGCGTGTGCGTTTGTGCGTTCGTGCGTTTGTGCGTGTGTGCGTGCGTGCGTGTGTGCGTGTGGTCGTACACGTACGTGCATGCGTGTGTGTGTGCATGCGTGCGTGCGTGCATGCGTATGTGTATGCGTGCGTGCATGTGCAGGTACAAGTGCTGTGTGCGTGTGTGTGCGTGCGTGCGTGCGTGCGTGCATGTGCACGTACACGTGCGTCCATGCGTGCGTGGGTGCGTGTGTACGTACCCGTGCTTGCACGCACGCACGCACGTGTACATTAACTCTGCAACTGTTTCACGTGGTAGAAAACGTAGGTACGAACTGTTTCACTTCTCGCAAACGAAGTTCTGTTTATAATACATATATCAGGGTTCTCCCTACGTTGCGCAAACGGGGCGCGTGCGCCCCGTTTGGAAAAACTCCCCCCTGTTTGAATCGTTGCGCCTCGTTTAAATTACCTCCGCCCCGTTTAAATTCCACCACAATAAAAGTTTGCCAGCGCGGGAATCGATCGTGAAGAATTGCCGTTCGATCAGGACATCCGACGCGTGTATTTTTACCGTACCACGCATGCACTGCAGACAGTACACAAGTTAACCTGTCACTAACTGTACACCGACTCGGCTATCTTATATATACAAGAACCCCAAATACC